TCCACAGGACAACCTTCAACGCCTCGAGAAACCTGCCTTTAACAAGCATGCCACGAACAATTCGGATGCCGACTGGTCGCAAAGGGGATCAGCTTGCTTCACCAAGAATTTGCCACTGGGCTGCCGGCTCCCGGTTGTCTTTCCAGTGGAAGACCTGGCCGCGGAAACCGACTGCTATTAAGAACCTTCTCTTCTGCGCATGCAGGACATTGATGCGCACACACACAGACAAAATGTCTCCACATCATTATTCATGCACTGTGAAGCAATCAAAGGTCAAGTTCCCTACATTGCCCCTTCAACATCACCCCAAAGGAACTTATGACCCTATTCCCTTTCCCTTTATAATTTCCTACTCCCATTGCCTTCATAATTCCTCACCAAAACGGGCCTTGCCCGCGAAAGTGGTTCAACATCGAGCTGGCCTGGACCGGGATTTGGCCCAGCTGGAGGTGCTTGTAGGTAAAGAGTCGGCGGTTGTCCACACACCTCTGGCTGGATTGCTTGCTTTGACTGGGGCTTGGGGCCTGGTCGACTGCCAGCAGCCAATCAATCATAGGAAACATGACTGACTGGTCAAGTGCCAAAGTCAAAACTAGAGAAAGTGCCCATTCTGGAGGGGTTCTTGAGAAGGGCACAACATGGTTTCAAACCAGTCATGCTACAAACACCATGGTTAATATTCAACCGTTTGCGACAAAGTGTCTCTGCTTTTTCATTTTTCCCCAACAGCTGAAAGCTTTGGGGTCTCAGCCCAGATAGGCTCCGGGGAGGTCAGGGGCGGCCCTGAGGTATGGTTCCACGAGGGTTCCACCAGGGTTCCACGAGGGCTGCGGGTTGGTGCGAGCACTAAAAAGAGCACCGCGTGTTCCCTACATCTATGCGTGAAGTTTTGATTGTGGCTCAGCTCAACCACCTCGTGCTCAAAACCCTTTCATCTGCCCAATTGCTCGGTTTGTGGTAAAATGGGCATTTCCTCCTTGGACTTTCAGCAAGACATGAGTAATGAGGCGGAGGTGCCAATATGCTCCCTTCTTCGCAGCCACGCGGATCAAAGGAATGTCCCATGGGGTCTTCTCGCCTGGCACCGAAGTCTCGGCAACTTCGCGTCCATGGCACAGGACAAATGAGTCCGAGACAAAACCTCCAAGCACCCCCCAACCACTGCTTTGTGGACAGTCTTTGGGAGTTTGGACATGGGAACAAAAACACAAACAAAAAACAGTTGTTCGGGGGGGTGGCTGATGATACGAACCGCGTCTAGCCCAAAGGTTCAGAAACTAAGTGCTCTTGTGGTCGGGACTGTCCCCTATGTTCAACTACCCGAGTTTTTAGTGCGCCTTCATGCTGAGCACTGATCCTTTGGAACTCTGACTCGGGTTGAAACACATGTCTCACCGGTTGCCAAGCAGTCTCGCTCGAAATCGTTCCCTGCCATGGATCTCTGACACTGTGAGGAGGTTTCTTGTTGCAAGTGCTTTCTCCGCTGTTCTGACCCCGAAAGTAGGTCAATGATCTGGGCGAATAATTCCTTATTATTCGCCAGCCCGAAATGAGAGACCAAGGAGCGAACCGTGTCGCAAACCAAATCCCGTTGTATTGTCCAATTAGCTGCAATGGGGTCCCGGAGCACCAAAACCAGCACAAGCCTTCTGGAAACACGCGCCTCGTGCTCACTGGAATGAGGCTGTCAAAGCTGGAACAAAATGCCATGCCACTTGCATGTGGGATGATTATTCTTCACGAAAATCAACTAAGGTCGAATACAGCTTCTGATATCAGCAGTGCTCCAAAGAAACCTTGTCAACCCGGTTCCCCGTTGCCTCCATCAACTCCAATCGTGAAGGACACTTGACATAACTTGACCCCTAGTGACCAGACAATCAATTGCCCCCGTTAAATGCTAAAGAGAAGGCTCACTGAAAAAATCCCAGTAGCCAGGCATCCATTCAACCCGGAGTCAACCATCGAAAGTGCTGCCTGACAGAATTGACTCCATGAGGTCCAACACGCTGCCGGCTTTGTCCTAACGACAAAGCAAACTCCACTAGACAACAGGTTGGATGCCCATCTGCCTGGGTGAACAGTGAAACCATCATCTTCACTAAGCGACAAAACCGGTATGAAAGCAAGCAGCCAACTAACTCATCGTTGGTAAGGTCCCAAGCCCCCATTGTGAAGTTGCAATATGTTGTTGCAGATCCCATCAATTGCTGCACTCCTTTTATCACTCTGAAAGTAGAATTCACGCATACACCCGGATCAATGGGTGTACCATGAATGGCTAGAGCCTTAGCTGGTGGGTATGTAGCTAAAAATAATGAGCAGGGAACAATCAGAACCCTTTCACTGGCAAAATATGCAGGGAATACACGGCATTTTGCGAAGGCTGGCTAGGAACGCAGTGAAACTTGAGCACGCAAGCAAATACTGTCACGAATGTAGCCATGTTGCAAATGTAACAATCTAGGATGCACGAAATACGAGCACGCCTTCCAATCCGAATGTCTAAAACAAGTAGCAACTTGGTCGTGCCCAAGCCAAAAGGGAAGCCCACAATTCTCATGATGACCAAGGGGTCACGATTGACTTAGATGCCAGCGCAAATCCACACACCGCCCCGGATGTCTTAAACCAAGCACGCGAACACCTTCCAAGTAATAAGTATCACACCCAGCTGACGCTATTGGGGAGCAAAGAAACAGGTACCCTTTTCAGCCGCCAGAAAAGCTGACTGGCCCTAAGGCCATGCCAATCAAGGAACCTTCTCTGAGCTTCGTTACAAAATGAGTGTGGAAATATCTCTGCCTTTCAATGGAAAAGGAACGCACTTGCTCTTCCTTGCCTCTGGTAGTTTAATTCCAAAATATTTTGATGTACCGCAGATCTGACATGCTTCGGACAGATTCAACACTGAAAAGCACGGTCCGAGTTGGCATTGAAGGTGTCGTACACGTGCTCCTGCCAGAATCTCTTCCGTATCTTCACAAACTGCCCACTTTCCAGGCAAATATAGTTAAAGATCTGTCCATTTGCAGTAGCTACACAACATACACACACACACACGTGCAAGCATTTTGTTGCAAATGCTTGTCAGTTCCACATGATTGACCTGCTGTTTGAATGCTTGCAAGCGTCCTGTGTGAAGCGAATTTCTGCCACGTCCATCATCTTGGTGGTCATGCTTCATGCCATCAAGGGTGCAAGCAACCCCCCCGAGGAAATGGGCGAATGCCACGGCCGAACCAGCTGCAAGAACTTTCGTGAAGCGAATACAAGGTGGGGCTAGTGGCATAGTGTGAATGCCCGCATCTAAACCAATTTTGAACTCTGCTCTGCCGAATCCACGTCTTGTCAAAGCTCAACTCGCAACATTGGGCATTGACAGCTACTGCTGTCGCTCGTGCGGCTTGTGATCAGATCTGAAGGTCGTCGAGGTGATATTGTTTGATATAGTTCAACCACCCGCAACTGTCAACTGTCACCATGCTTCTTTTCCTGATTCCTGGCTGGGTCTTTTTCAAAGGATCTACCACAAGTTTGGTTTATCACGTGCTTGTACATGTTCGTCCGAAAGCTTGGAAGCCGCATGGCTTTCAGCATCGCCTGCTTGGAGTCCCCGAGCCGACGCTTGGAGTCACGGATGAGTGACATGGGCGACATGGATGGTACGTTGGTTGAGGGAAACCGAAAGGAAATCACGCAGGTTCCCAGACTTCGACACAAACCCTGCGTGGTTGCAACGGAATCCTCCCGCTCCAAACCAAAAACCTGATTTAGGCAAGCTATTTTGCTGGTTCTAGTGCGGCGCAAGACTTGGCCCATCAGCTGAACATGCCCTCCTTTACTCTAGACAAGGTCGCTCATCCAAAACTACAAGTAGCACACGAAAACGCCAAGTCGCAGCCTGTCGTGGACCAATGGCCAACTCCAGCAATTGCAGCTTGGGGACAAGCGTCACATCAGGGATTCACTCACCAGATCCTCACCCCTCCAAAAAGGCTGTGGTATGGGAACAATCCTCGGCTGAACAAAACACATAATTCATTTTGGCACACCAAGCCCCCGCTTAACAAAGACTGGCCCCCTTGCCAATACCTCTACCAACACTAAAACCCTGTATAGTCTTGAGGGTTGCTTTTCCCAAAACCGAAAAAGAACAGCCAGCCGGAAACAACGAGTTGTCTTGGAACATATTTTAAAATATCATGGTTTGACAAGCTCGCAATTAAGGGTACCGCCCTACAAACCGCCATCAAGGGGGAGGAGCCAGGCGTTGTTGCGGATCTGGCCCTTGTCGACCACAAAGAATGGGAAACACAGGTACATGGCAGCACGTGTTTTGCCTTTCTCAGCAAGCAAAAGGTGTGACATCTTCGCAGCAAGCCCCACAGGAGCGAATACGCGCGAGCCGCTTCAGCGGCCAGTGACACAGGCAAAGCTGAAAGAATCAATGCTGGTGAATTCTTGGTGCACTGTGAGTAAGGGGTGACAAGGTGAAGGGGACAAGCACAGTGCGGTCTGTTCAGGCCCCGCCGCTAGGCTTACTGGGGCTCGGCCCCACCTCGTTGACTTGTCTCATCCTGCTTCGCAGAGCTTTGCGGCTGCGTCTGATCAAAGCGCTTGCTTTGGCTTTGCTTCCACGCAGCCCTGAGACCCGCCCCAGGACTCTGAACTGCGGCAAATTGAGGGGGCTTGACAAGAGTGGTGTTACCGGATGAAGCATGCATGAACAGGACTTGAGTGGGTTAACTTCAAGCAAGCAAAACCTATACCTGCGACGTCTCCAAGTGTTTAGAAAAACTCTGACATACCAGCATTTTCAGTGTCCCTGGGAAGGTTTGGGCTGATGTAAGGAGGCCTTGTGCCCCACAGCTGCCCGGCATCCCCACTGTCACTCGCTTGCTTCGATTCGAAGTGTTTAACATGTTGAACAACCGCTGAGGTGACGCAAGTCCGGTCTGAGTCAATCATGCTTCACCTGAAATCAGACATATTCG